CTTGTCAAATCACCAGGCCTACAAGGTTGCCATAATTTTGCCATATAACCTGTCAAAACCCACTGGTAGCCATTTTGTTTGGAATGCCTAATTAGTCAGGGGTCTTATTCTTTAACCAGCATTTTTGAAAACACTCAGCAGAAACGTGACAAACAACTAACAATAGTGTAAAGCACAAACGTTTTGGTATATAGATCTTGTATAACTTTAATAATTACGAGGATATATCAGTATATAACGAGACTGGTGCTATAACTTCTTTCAGAGGTAACATTTTATAACCCAAAAAATGAGACATGAAAGCCTTATATTTATTGTACTACCCCGCAAGTAGGATTTGATTTAACTTTTGACATTTGTTACAAATTAATTATTGAATTGTCAGTGTTTTGCGTACCCATCGAAAAATGAAAGTGGAGCAAAGATACGCGATAAAATTTTGTGTTCGATTGGGTAAAACACCAACTGAAACTTTTGAAATGATTAAAGGTGCATATCTAGATAATAGTTTATCACGATGTAGAGTGTTTGAGTGGCATAAAAAGTTTAAAGACGGTTGTGAATCAGTTGAAGATGAACCTCGTCCCGGTCGACCACAAACTGCGAAAAATGACACAAAAATTGCAGAAATTAACGACGATACAAAATGATCGCCGGATTGGCATAAAACGAATTTCTGACCATGTTTATTTGTCTTACGGTACCACTCAAAAAATTATTCATGAAGATTTAGAGTACCGGAAGATCGCGGCAAGATGGATTCCAAAAGTGATGACCGATGAACAAAAAGCGAATCGAGTGACAATTTGTCAGCAGTGGAAAAGGCAATTGCAACGTAACCCACAGTTTTTAAATAATGTGGTTACATGTGACGAAAGTTGGTTTTATCATTACGATCCTGAATTGAAGTCTCAAAGTATGCAATGGAAGCATAAAGGCAGCCCAAGACCGCAGAAGGCCAAAACTGCTAAAAGCGCTGGTAAAGTGATGCACCTGATTTTTTTTGATAAATTTGGCGTTATTTACGATCACATTGTATCTAGTGGACATACAGTAACAGGGGAGTACTATTCTAATGTACTTCGAGGACCCTTAAAGGTAAAATTAAAGAAAAAAAGGCCGCTTTATCAGGACTTTGGCTGGACGCTGCATCACGACAATGCTCCGGCTCATAGATCAATGATTTGTCAACGAGCAATTGAAGAATTAGGGGTTGAAATTATGGTTCATCCCCCCTACTCTCCTGACCTTGCTCCATGTGACTTCCATTTGTTTCCTGAAGTCAAAAAAGAATTGAGAGGTAGAAGATTTGAGTCGGATTTAGAGCTCAACAACGCTGTGATGGGTATACTAAACAGACTATCAAAAAATGGTTTCTCAGAAGTTTATGATAAGTGGATAAAGCGATGGAATAAGTGTATTCAACAGAATGGAGAGTACTTCGAAAGATAGTTGTTGAATTTTTTTAAATAAATGTTTCGTTGTTATACTATAGCACCAGTCTCGTTATTTTCTGATACATCCTCGTATTACCCCTATATTTGTTATTTATCTCTGTCATTAGTTGTCATTATTTATGTGTAGTTTTTGCTGAATAAAGTCAATTAATTTTTGGTTTATATAAACTTTTATAACAATTTATTCTGCAAAAACTACACATAAATAATGATAACTAATGACAAAGATAAATAACAGATATGGGGGTAATACAATTATTAAAGTTATACGAGGGCAACTCCTCTTCAACTTTCATATTCTTCGAGATATTTAGGAGGTTTTCTGTTTCTAGCAGGACAACTTTTTTCAGAAGGTAAACCTAGAGCTAAATTTCTAAATTTGGTTTTCTAAGGAAGTAGTGACCGTTTCACTCAATTAAACCAAGTTTCCGGGAGTAGCTGATGGAGAATTCAAATTTTCGATAGAAGTAGGCACTAAAGTGGGAGTCAAGGGACATAAGTACAAGAAGGGAACGAACAACTATCATCTTCAATTTCTTTTCCATCGGACATTCTTACATACGAAAATTCAGGATTACTTTTCAATAGTTCGACTTCTTTCACAATTGGTTCATACTTGGATTTATGGTTTCTAGAGGCCGGAAAGAAGTATGAGCAAAATTCAAAATTCTCATAAAAATCGATAAGGCTATTAGATTATAACAGAAAATAAAATTTTAAAACCGAATTAAGATCGCTTGAGACCTCTTTCCGAATTTCCTATACCTCAAGACAACAATTATTTGAAAGGGGCTTTAGGGATGTTTTATTATTATGCCAAATGGATTCCAAAATTTTCCGAAAATGTCCAACCTCTAATAAACTGTTCTAAATTTACAATAACTGATGAAGAACAGTCTGCTTTTTACGTTTTATAATCTAACATAATAAAATATGTGGTAAACGCGATTGATGAATGTATTCCATTTATTAATTTATTTGTTTACAGTACACTACAGATACATAAAGTTCTAAATGGTACATTTAAAATATCAATTAAAATAAAATAAAGAAAAGAAATTAATAAAATTGTCACAGTACAAAAATGAAATCAATAGTGTAATGAAAGTTGACGCTTTAAAGAAAACAAACCTGTATTAAAAATGTCATAATTTGAAAAATACTTATTGTAATTGGACATCAGTCGGTCGACAAATAAATTCTGTCCATAGTTAGTTCTATGAGTATTTACATAAAATAGTTTATTCTGTAAGTCTGACAGGAACAAGGAATTTAATAAAATGTACCAAGCTGTCACTATCAATCAAAACGTTCAATAACTTATACAGGAAAACAAGCGATGCTTCTCGACGTCTACATTCCAAACTCTTAGGTCCGCACAACATAATTCTGGTTTGGTAATCTACATTTTTCGATGGAAGCCTATGTTTATATAGTAGATACTTCCAAAATTTATTTTGCACTCTTTCTAATTTATCAATATGACAATTATTGTAGTTAGGTGCCCAAATCACTGAGCAGTATTCTAAAATGCTTCTAACTAAGCAGTTGTAGAGACTTTTCAGAGCTGCCGTGTCATAAATGTGCTTGGTGTTCTATTTGACAAAGCCCAGAAGTCGAAAAGCTCTATTTACAATTTCTTCCAAATGAGGAATAAACGATAGGTCCCTGTCAAAAATAACACCAAGATCATTTATAGTTTGCTCAAGACTTAGTTCAGAACCTGCAATGACATAATCATGCACAATGATATTAGCTGTTTTAGTGAACCTTACGACTTTACATTTATTGATATTCAGTTTAAGCAAGTTATCGTTGCACAATTGAACCAAATTACTGAGATCTGATTGTAAGTGATTGTTTGAAAGGTCATGATTGAAAAAAAATTTTAGGTCATCTGCATATAGGAGGCAACTGGAGTTATTAAAACAAGTTGTTATATCGTTAATAAAAAGTATGAACAATATAGATCCTATATGCGAGCCCTGTGATACATCTGAATGTACCGATGTTGAAACCGATGCCTCGGATCATTCAATAGCTGCTACTTTATCGCAATCTGGAAGACTTGTAGCATTTTTCTCTCGAAACTTATCAGATAGCGAAAAGCGACATTCGGCAGTAGAAAAAGAGGCTTAAGCTATTGTCGAATCTCTGAAGAAATGGAAACATTACCTCATCGGTCACTCCCTTGACTCCCACTTTAGTGCCTACATCCACTGAAAACTTAAGTTCTCCATCAGCTACTCCCGGAAACTTAGTTGAATTGAAACGGTTCCTACTTCGTTAGAAAATCAAATTTCAAAATCGATATATCCCTAGGAGTATTTTACCATTTGAAGAAAATCGCCCAGCTAGAAACAGAAAACCTCCTAAATACCTGGATGAATATGAAAGATTCTAAAGAGGAGGAGAATGATATGAAAATATTAGTTGCCCTTGTATAATTTTATTAATTGTATTATCTGTTACTTATCTTTCTCATTGGTTGTTATTATTTATGTGTAGTTTTTGCTGAATAAATTGTTATAATTTTTAACCGACTTCAAAAAAGGAGGAGGTTCTCAATTCGTCGCGATATTTTTTCATTTTTTTTTTTATGTATATTCAGCGATAATTCTTTAATACGGTGTCCGATTTCAATGATTCTTTTTTTTTTAGAAAGGGGGTACTTCAAGGGTGGTCCCATATTATATTTGGTCAAAATCTAATAATTGGTTCCATGAGAAAATCCTCAAATTCTTTATTTTTTATGTATGTTTAGCGATAATGCTTTACCACCTTGTCCGATTTATATAATTCTTTTTTTGTTAGTAAGGTGGTACCTCAGGGCACGTTTTAGAAGTTGTTTTTTTTTTAATTTTTAATAACTTATATTCAGCAAAAACTATATATAAATAATGACAGCTAATGACAAAGATAAATAACAGATATAGGGGTAATACAATTAATAAAGTTATACAAAGGCAACTCATATTTTCATGTAAAAAAGTAAATCGCTTTCAAAAAAGTTACAAATGAGTAGCGTTTTGCTGTTCGCACTTTAAGATTTTAAGACGTAGATAAGTCAAACATTAAAATATGGATCGGAATATAATTACCTATTAAACAAAATTACAAGATTTAACTTTCAAAAGAATAAACTTGTACCTTGTACTTACCTAATATACTTCAATTTAATTTAATTGTTCATAAAATAGAAAAGCAATCATTACATTATATTAATTCCTGATTTGCCTATAGACCACTAAATGTACATATGATAGAACTAAAATGAAATAAAAATTCCCAGGCTCGTGTTGTTAAGAATTATTATCTTAAAGTATTTTTGAATTTTTATCAACTACTTTTTTCTTTAGATCACAAAAAATCAGCTGAAAAATTTACTTAAATATATAAATAAAACACAGTTTTATTAACAACATGTATTCTCATCATTTATTTTTTTTGTTTGGAGTGTAAATCTAACAATATTAAAAAAAATTTCAATTCAAGTAATAGAGATTCTTGTAATAAAGAAGTTTGTGATTACAACCTACATCCATGCACTTTCAGAAATACTCATCAAATAGATACACAAAAAAGTGTTATATTTTGATAAAATAACTTACTAAGACAAACTAAATTTTAACGTTTTGGACTAGTGTACTTTAAGTATTAATCTTACTACTCTTCAATCTTATAATCACTTAAAGGAGACGTTGCCTTGTCAGCATCTCTTGCTGAATGTTCCCCAGAAATTACTTCTTCATTCAATAATTCACATTCATTTTTCTCATCTTCACTATTGATTTCCTCTAATTCTTCATGGTCCAATTCATCTTGTTCTTTTACCAAGTCGCTAGTAGCTGTGGAAGTAGTTTCTTCTTGATTAATAGCTGCTGCTTTACCTCTTCCTTTCTTTTTGAATTTCTTTTTAACCTCTTGTATAACCTCTTTAGGAACATTGTAACCATCAGGAAAGAAGTATTTGCAATCTATTTCTCCTTGTTCTACGTCGGAACTCATGTATGTTGGTCCCAGTTCAATGAAGGCGATTAAGCAATCTTCTATTGTTTTCGCAAGTTGAATTACAATTTTTTCCTCACTAAAACTAAATAGTAAATGATTCTGTTCGCCTTAAAAGTGCCTATTTTTAACAAAACCATTTTTAGTTTATCACGCCTGCCATTTTTATGATAAAAGAGAAAGGTCGTATGATTTTGAAAGCATACATTATGCAAACATGCCCAGCCAATCGGAATTCATAATTTAAAGAGGAAGTCAGAGTATCTGCTTACTTTTTATTTTCCTGTTTATATACATTAGACTGGGCCAAAAAAATAACTATTTTTTTTTTGAAAGATATATCGAGAATATCATTCAGAATGATAAAAAAAAAATTCGTGAAAATTTGAGCCCTTAATATTAATTTTAAGAGGTCTATCATCGCTATTTTTGATTTTTTGTCATAATTTGATGTTTTACGTTAGAACTGTCAAAACATTAAAGTGAAAAAAATTCCTTTTCACTTATTCTGATATAAAATTAAATTCTCTACGAAAATGGTCTGATTGAAAATTTTCGTCAGACGAGCTGTTTCCAAGTAATTTCGTAACTAATAAATAACTTTTGAAGAATTGAATTTAGGCAAAAATATTAAGAGACCTTTTTTGTAGAACATTAATTTTCCTTGAAGAATCCGACGTGGGCTTTTTTAAATATGCATTGATTCATTAGTTACGAAATTACTCGAAAACGGCTCGTCTGACAAAAATTTTAATAGGGCCTTTTTTGTAGAGAATTTAATTTTACATAAGAATAAGTAAAAAGGATTTTTTTTCACCTTAATGTTTTGACAGTTCTAACGTAAAACATCAAATTATGACTAAAAATCAAAATAGCGATGATAGACCTCTTAAAATTAATATTAAGGGCTCAAATTTTTAGGAAATTTTTTTTTCATCATTCTGAATGATATTCTCGATATATCTTTCAAAAAAAAAATTGTTATTTTTTTGGCCCAGTCTAATATACATATAAGGAAAGTATAATAAGAATCTAAATTTTTTTCGACCTCGAGTTTTCGACGGATTTTTACGTTTTTACGTAAATCCGTTTTGACTATTTTCGCAATGATGTCTGTGCGTCTGCGCGCGCTTGTATCTATATGCGTGTGCGTGCGTGGGTATGCGTACGTATGTGTGCAAGCACGTGTGGATACGTGGGCGTGGGCGTGTGCGAGCGCGTTTGTGTGTGTGTGTGTGTGTGTGTGTGTGCACTCGATAACTAATGAATAGATACGGAGAAAAACACCAAATATTGAACTTAAGTTTTATTCCGGCAAAGATTGTGTGTGTGTGTGTGTGTGTGTGTGTCTGTGCGCGCGCGCGCTCGTGTGTGCTCGTGTGTGCGCGTGCATGTGCGTGTGCGTTTGCCTGTGCGTTTGCGTGTGCGTGTTTGTGCGTGTTTGTGCGTGTTTATGCGTGTTTGTGCGTGTTTGTGCGTGTTTGTGCGTGTTTGTGCGTGTTTGTGCGCGCGTGTGTGTGTGTGTGTGTGTGCTGTGTGTGTGTGTACTCGATAACTAAAGAACGGATACATAGAAAACACCAAATATTAAACTTAAGCTTTATTCCGGCCTGCGTTAAACTAAATAGATTTTGAGTAGAGACGGAACATTTGGAGAGTACTTTATAGGGAGTTGTTTTTCTATTTTATTAAATATATCTTTTATTTTTCAAATATTTACAGGGGTGATACAATAGGTTGTACTAAATAGCAGAAAAGGCATGTAATAACTACCCAGACACATCAGATTTTTATTTTATAATTTACACCATATTTTCATAATCTTCCATCCGATCGAATGCTTATTCGTTTAGTATCGTGTCAGTTCGTACTTCAAATTTCATTGGAGAATTTGGCATTGGGCGGTAATTAACATGACCTTAGATTTCAGATTTGGTAAGTTTGGTGATATTTGCTTATTCACGATAATCTAAATTTATAAATCTTATCAATTGTACAATTTAGTACTCAAGAAAGCAGAAAATATACAAGAAATAAATAAGGAAATGAAAAGATGAGAGAGAAATATAAAACATTTTTAGTATTAAAGGAAAACTATTTCAGACATTTAAAAGAGGAGGATGAAAATGGTTTTTTAAATTATTATAAAATAAATTAATTTAGAAATATAACAGTATTATAACAGAATTAATATGAAATTATTATAGAATGAATACAGATTTAATATAGAATTAATTGAGTTATTTTAGAATTAATATAAAAATAATATAGAATTAATATAAAATTATTATAAAATTAATATAGAATGGTAAAGTAAACGAGAATATGTGTACATCTGTACATTTTGGCCTGTGGTTTATTCCTCAGTCAAAAATGTTATTTTTTCAAAAGACACCCATAACATTATACTACTTCGCTAGTGAACTCATGAGCTTAGTACCTAAGAGTAGGCAACCAGTATTACGCTTGTATTAATTATAAAGGACGAGGCACGGATTACATAAGAGTTATGGGGGTCTATTCTGTAACAATTCCTTTATATCTAACGGCCTTTAAAAATATTTTCTTCTTTACTTCTGTCATTATTTAAACGGATCTTTAAAATACATTAAAGGACTATCTTAAAGAAATCTGTTTAAATAATTACAGAAGTAAATTAACGAATACGAACATATTTTTATAGGCCGCCAATATTTTTAAAGGCCGTTAAATATAAAGGAATTGTTACAGAAAAGACCCCATGGTCTGTCGTAAATCTTTACCATTTATTATAATATTTTAAAGTTACTGTCACTTGAGGAAAAATTGTAAAATAAGGATAATCGTATGTTTGTGATAGAAGATACATGCGCTCAAAGAACGAAAGTTCCTTATGCCAATGTGATAGCAACCAAGAAAATTTAAAAGGTGTTACATTTAATCCAGTTAAAAGGTTTAAGTGGAAATGATCAGTGCAAACGAAACGCCATACTTCATCTTTATAAACAGTAACAATAAAAAAATAACATTTTTTTTTAATTTGTTGAACATTAACGGTAAATATCAACAGCAAAAAGTACTTGGATAAAGTTATGACGAGCCACAAAATTTAAGGGATTTGGCTGAAACAGCGAAAAACTTTATTAGATTTAAAAAAGGTGGACGAACTTCTTTGCTTTCAGGAACCAATGTTATTAATAAATTAAAAATAACTCAACCTATATTATTTTACGTCTTTGTCATATTTAAGTTAGACTTTTCTCCTTTTTACTTTCCTATCTGTATACAGATAAAAGGAAAGTATAGGAATCATGATTTTTTTCGACCTCGAGTTTTCGACGGATTTTTACGTTTTGAGGTCCCCTGAAACCGTTTTGACTATTTTGGCGATGATGTCTGTGTGTCTGTGTGTGTGTGTGTCTGTGTGTCGCATAACTCATGAACCGATACACAGAAAAACACCAAATTTCAAACTTAAGCTTTTTTCCAGCGTCTAATGTGCTGATTAGATTTTGGGCAGTGTCGGAACATCTGGGGGGGTACTTTATGGGTGTTCATTTTTATATTTTATGGATTATATCTGTTATTTACGTTTGGGGAAGAAAATTCTTCAAATAAAAGTTACTTCTTATATTATTATCTAAAATTTTTGATTTATACAAAATTTTCCTAAAATAGTCCGTATTCGAGAAATTTGACAAAATATAAAAAATTATTTGTTATAAAAGTTGTTCAAACAAAAGTTGTTTGTAATATAATTCTCTATAATTTTTATCATATACATAATTTTCTAAAATGGTCCGTATTCGAGATATTTGAGAAAATGTGTAAATTTCGAAATTTGAAGAAAACTCAAAAACGGATAAAGAAAAAAACATTAAATTTTAAACTTAAGTTTTATTTCGGCCTGACGTGAAATGATTAGATTTTTGACAAAGTCGGATCATCTGGGGGGGTACTTTATGGGGGGCCGTTCTTATATTTTATGGAATATATCTGTTATTTATGTTTGGAGAAAAAAATTGTTTAAATAAAAGTTATTTATAATATTATTATCTATAATTTTTGCTTTTTGTCAAAATTTCCAGAAATGGTCCGTATTCGAGAAATTTTACAAAATGTGCAAAATTCTGATTTTTTTGTTTAAATATGATTTTTCTAAAATGGACCGTAATGGAAAAATTGTATGAAAAGTGCTATATTAAAATTTTTCAGTATTTTTGTTTTCAATAAATATCTATGGAAAAATGTTTCGAGGTAGATGTATGTGGAAAATGTATATATTTAGTTTATCCTCTAAACATTTATAGATGTGTTGCAATAGGTTGAACAAAATAACCTGAAAAAGCCTATAATAACTAGATAGGAAAGTCATGTGTTGGACACATAAGATTTTTATTAATGAATTCAAAAATACCTTTATTTTAGTTAGATGTATATCCAATGTGTTTTAAAAAATAACAAAAAAAATCTCTTAAATTGTATTGACCAATTTCTTTATCTCTGTATTTAGCATATTGTTATAATATTAAAATGTAGGTCCCTTTTCTTAATATAGGTCCGAATGAATTAAAAGAACTTGGGGAATAAAGTTCCCACGATCTACCAGGTAAATTATATCTATCAATATTATAGCAGGGGCAGAATTTGGAAAGGCTTCTGCTAGTTCTCCCTCTTCGTCCACATAAATTGACAGGTTTGCAGCGGATTTAACCGAAGTGGACGCGATACATTGGCATACAAAATTATTTTAATTATTTTAATAACAATTTCGAGTAAATAGTTTAATAAATTGTGAATAGCTGTTGAAATTATGTAGAATTATGATTTGGATATTAAAATACATGTTTAATAATTATTTATATTCCATAAATTCATGCGATCGTCCGGTTCCGCCGGTAACAGTTTAAAATTACTTATTTTATGAAACGACACTGGCAGGTAAACATTACTGCGAAATTCTCGAATTCGTCCGCCGTGTTTTGACGTTTACCCCCTTTATTTTATAGGTTACGTAGGTCTTTGATTTATTTGCAGGTTACAATAGTGGTGAATTAGTATTATTATAATTGTTTTCCATAGTTTTTAATTTTACACTGTTTTGAATTAAGATTTCGGCTTTTGCGTATATTATTAATTATTTTGCTTTCATCTCTATTATGCGACTGTTATTCGCCAATAGTGAAATCGACTTTAAGGGCATGTCCAGACGAGCCACTCTGTGGCACCACTCAGCCGCGCTGCTAAGTGGCGTGTACAGGCCACTCGATGTCGCCACAGAGCGACCAGTGGTCGTTCGTGTGGACGTACAGGACGTGCTAGCTACTGAGTAGCGCGATTCCATGGTAGGCTCATGTTGGAAGGTAATTAAAATTTGCCAGTGTCATTATGGACTCAGGACCAGGAAGTACTCATTCTAACACTTCTAGCGATACTTACATGCCTTGTTCTTTGCACCAGAATCCATTACTTAAAATTTTTTTATGAAAATTACACCAAATTTCCTCCTAAGCTTTACTATTAAATTCACTATTGCTATATTCTTTCGAACTGCTTTTCCAAACCGCGGGACGTTGTTCTATTTCGACTATAAATCGATCTGCATTGAACGTCATATTACTCAATACTGGACCCCGAAAATCAAAATAAAATATCTTTACCAATGTTAGTAGAAGTCGACGACACAGTCGACAACAAAAGTGGCCCATGTGGTCGCCACTTCGTCGCGGGGACACGCTTCTCTTCGCCACAGACGCTCGCCACAGACGCTCATCTGGACAGCCTCTACATTTTCACATTGAATTAAATGGCAGGCATTTACCCGCCACGAAGTGGCGCTACTAAGTGTCGCCACCGAGTGGCTCGTCTGGACGGGCTCTAAAATGCAATTTTTTACGGGTATTTGAAAAATTTAACATATGCTTAGAGGTCTAAAGTACTTGGCTTATAATTTATGTTACAATATATTTTTTTAAATTTTATTCATGTTGAGAATAGAGATGAACAATTTTTTGACTTACTATGTGGTCGGAGTTGTCCTCGCGTCAAATTCTTCAACTGTTTTGGAAATCAAAGTAGCTTCTAAAGGCTTATCAGATGTGAAAAATCCATACATCATCACTTGTCCAGGGTATAGGTCCGACAACTCCATAACTTCTCTAGTTTTAAAAGCATCGAAAGCAATTGCTATATACAATGGTGTAGGCTCTGATTCTGGAAGTTTGAAAGGCGCAGAAAGGTTAGGAAAGAGATGTTTTAGAACTAAAGCAGTTGTTAATTTATCAGTTGGTGCCCAAATACCTGTAAATTTTTTCAATATTTAGAACAATTTTGTTCAGGGTTTGCTTCTACCAAATACGGAGTATATTATTATACTTACCTACTAAATTATTTTCTTTCTTAATTTCGTCAGTATTTTCATCAATATCATCATTAATAAATCTGACTGTCAATTGATCACAAGGTGAATTTGGACTGCCTGGTGGTTTCCTTAGATTCCCATAAACAATTTGAAGTACAATATCACCAATATCTCCAGGTAAATCACCATTTCGTTTGATAAGAAGAGCCATTGAAAATTTCCCATTAAGAATGTCTTCTATGGTTTTTTGAGAAAGTTTTTCCTCGCAAAAAAAGAATATGTCGTCGATAATTTCCAAGTTCATTTTAACCTGCAATATTTTTTCTTAAATCACTTAGGTATATAAAAATAATATTTGTATGATAGTAATAAAGTGTGATCAATTTTACTAGTAAGGTACCTATATAATATAATTAATATTTTGAAATCAGCGTATATATGTAATTGCCCATACAATCTTTAATTTTGTAAATAAATTAAAAAAACCTTTTATTGATAATTAACTATACATCAGATAAACAATTTACCTTTTTATATTGGACAGTAGAGGAGCTGCCAATAGTTGAAACGATCTTTTGGGGCTAAGACAGGCTAAGATACTGCTGGGTGACTAACATGGCCGAAATCATGTACCTGTCTGTGCAAGAAACTACGCATAATAACATAAATTCATACCGGGGAGGAGGACGAAACCTCCATTAACATTCTGATTAAATGTGTCGCACTTTCCTTTGGAAGATAGGAGTTGAAGGGTCGTTATAGGCATTGAAACTGTTCTTTTGCTTTATTAGAGACATAAGAGGACACAATAATATATCTTTTGGGTCGCAGTGTATTAATTCTCTATAAATAACATATATATTGGTGGCCAAAATCATTTAACTATTATTTTATGTTATAGGAAACGTACGACTAAAAAAAGAAGTGCAATGTCACCCATCACCCTACAGTGTTCTGCGATCGTTATAGGTAAAAGTTCGAGTAAAGAAAGATGAGAGAGAATAATCTAGAAATGTCAAGAAACATGTGGATGGTTCGAGAAGGTTCTAGAAGGTTAAAACGAGCTATATAAGTCGATGATCCTGACGTCAGAGGATTAAAAAAAGGCGAAAAGAGGAGAAGAAAAGGCCCAAGAAGAAAGAAGAGGACAGGGAAAGGCGAGGAGAGGAAAAGGAAAGGCGCCGGAAGGACGAGGAAAAAGAGAGAAGAAAAGCGTAAAAAAGCTAAGGTGGAAATTATGAATGACTTGCTACAAATTCTAGAAAACTTCTGGCAAGAGGTAGGTCAGCTTAACAGTCGAATAGATCTCCTAGCACAACAACTGTTGGCTGAGTAACGCTGTATGTAACTCTGTATGTATGTATGTTGTATTTTGTTTAAAAAGGAATATGCGATGTTAATTTTTGAATTTTTGTAATTTTTGACAAATAAAAATAAAATAACATTGTCATACAAAAAGTAATTTAATTTTCCCCAAAGTAAATGCATAAAACCAATCTTCAATAAAAGTTCCAACAGGTTATGGGCCAGGAACTGCTTGAGCACTAAGAGATTGGGTTAATTATTTTGTTTTAAACTTATGGAGGAAAAATCAGAAAATACAAGGTTTGGGTTCGGACAATTAAATAACACAAATTACCAACCTTGGAAATTTAAAATGCGAATGCTGTTGATTAGAGAAGGAAGCTGGAAAGTGGTCAACGAAGAAAAACCAGAAAATCCAACATCCGAATGGAAACAGTTAGATGAAAAGGCACAAATTACAATATCATTATGTATCGAAAATAATCAGATAATAAATATTTGTAAATGTGTGTCCGCTAAAGAGATGTGAGATGTATTACAGAACGATCCAATCTAAGCAATAAACTGTACTTGCTTCGCAAATTTTATGAAATTAAATTAGAAGATTTTAAATCAATGTCAGAATACATCAGAAATGTCCTTGAATTGGTTGAACGGCTAAACGGAATTGGAGAAAATATAAAAGATTTTAATATTACAGCGTTACTTCTGTGGCCTTCCTACTCAATACGACACACGTCCTGATGAAGAATTGACAATTGAGTTCAATAGAAGAAATAATTTCATAACTGATAATGAAGCTGCACTAAAAGTTTCCAAACCTAAACAATATTTTTCTAATAAAGAATGTTCCTACTGCAAAAAGAAAGGATATCTTATAAAAGATTGTTATTTTTTTAAAAAGAAGAAATCAACAAGGTAGTAGTTCAACTAAGCATGATCAAAATAATCACAATATCAAAAGTGTTATGTAAGTGAACGAAAAAAAGTTCTGTTGGTGCCTGTAAACGTAACAGACACACGAATTTCGAAAAAAAAAATTGAACTAGAAAATAGTATTAAGTGTATATATATAAAATAACAAAAAAAAATTGCGAATTACGTATAAATAACAGAGAAATTTGAGTTAAAACTTAATTTTAGTGATTCTAACATAAGGTTTTTCGATTTTCATGTAAAGCATAAGCAAGCTTGCCAAACATTTCAATTTATAACAAAATCTAGATTAATAATTGATAGAGGGGTGGGTTGGCTCAGTGGTTAGAGTCATGACTTTGAGATCGGAAGGTCTCAGGTTCGAAAAAAAAAAAAAAAAAAAATTGATAGAATCGATCAGGTACTTTTATGAATCGAATACATATTAAAACAATGCTCATATCACGCATGAAAAGGTAATTATTGGAAATATAATAATATAGTTTTCTTAACAATCCAATTTTACTTATTCTTACATTTTAGGCATTAGGAAAAATAGTACTTTTTAAATATACCACAAAGTATCTTATTGTTGGCGTAACATTTCCAAACACTTTAAAAAACACTACTTTTATTAATTTATTTCGTTGCTTTTCCAGTTACATCCAGCGATTATCCATTTTGGTTGAATTGTACATATTAACTAAATATTAGCATTACTCCATCTATAAAGTAATAAACAAAAATTATTTTGGGTTATCTAAAAGATTTTAAACTTTCAAACAAAAGGATAGACCTTTTCATCACAATTTTTTTTCGTGCGCATGCGTAAGTATCGGCCATCTTTTTCGTACTGTTTTTATAAACAAGCATGTTAAAATGCAAACGTAAAAAAAATTATAATCGATAAATATTAATTTATGTATATTCATTTAAAAAAAAGGAAGAAAAGGCAAAGTAATAATAAGTTTAGTGTCTTAATTGAAAAATAGATTTTTGCAATCAATTATAATTATGTTATCTGTACGGAAAGGAACAACTAAAAGGTGTTGTTATGCAGTATGTAAAAGTGACGTATAAATCATTCAAAGGCAATACACATTATTTTATAAATTTTCCAAAGCCTTGACTGCAACATCGTAAAAAAATATCAAATTATCAGGCAAAATCTATATTAAAACATGTTCAAAAAGCGCAAATGTGCATTAGGTGTAAAAAATGTGGTCAAAGTGACAACGGTTTTCGATGGATTGAGGATGTTACTAAAGATACTTGTATTTGTTCACTATATTTTCATGGAGAAAGTGGCCCAACAGAAGAAAATTCTTATCTGGTATTACCAAATATGTTTTTAATATTAAATACTACTCTGGTATACACAGTAATATAATTAAAAATATCATGTTGATCCTCAAAATAATAAATAATTTATTTTATTAATTATTCTAGTGATTAACTATCACGTTAATTATGGTGTTTTTGCAATCAATTATTAGTATAATTAATTAGAAAAGAGTTATAATTATCATTTGTTTTTACAACTTTGTATTGATACACCTAACCTCTCCATCAGTCCACTTTTTCCTTTATAGCAAACATCCAAAACACTTTAACCACCTTTTCAACTGCTCACAACTATGCGCTTTCACATAGTTATAAAAAAGTTAATCACCATCAACAATTTTTCCTAATGATTAATTTTTCTGTAGAGATAATTATTGCTTTCCCAGCCTTTGTCGATTAAAACAGTACGAAACTTTTGAATTGCCGCTATTTCAACATGGTGGCTGCGCTTGCGCTCATCACATGATGAAAAGGTCTATTAATTAGTCTGAAAAATGAATTGTCAACCAAAGTCAATGACTATATCAACTAAGGAGGATAGCCGAATTTATTCAATTTCTACCGAGTCCGGTGCGACGTGACGTCAACCCTGAAAACTTTCAGCCGTTACATTTAAAACGTACATCAATACACCTAATTTTTAAATTACGTTTAATTTTTTTTTTTTTGAAACAAAAAGATATTCCAGATATTCGAAAGATCATTTTACCAGAGAGAAAATTTAACTCATCTGAAAATTATAGAAGTAAATAAATATGTAAATAGAAGGTAATAAATTTAAATACTATGGCCATGTTTTTTAAACAACTTTTTAATGAACTCATATTTAAGAAATTTGACATGATGAAGTCGAAACTTATATACAAAGTGAACAAAAAGTAACTTAACTTATTATGTACATTTCTGATAAGTTTACAAAAAAAGATTGGATGAAAGTTTCATAAAATAAATCAAGTTAAATCAAGTTAATAAAAAATACACCTTCGTGCTTAATAAAAAAATATACTGGGTTGACCAGTATTCATAAATTACAAAAAAATATTTTTTTTAAATAGTTTTTCGTACTAAATTAAATTTAAAATAAAACCGTTAAAATTACATTGTGCTAACTTTATTATCCATTAGCCATCCATTCGTTATTTTTGAGTAATGGTGCACCCGATATATTTCTAACTGACTTGCATTGATTACTTGATTTATTTCATAAACAAAATATAAACGTTTCCTGACATACCTACACCATGAAAGCACGTTCGTCCTACCACGTCTCAACTACCTTAGAAGCTAGCACGCTTGGTCGATGGTTTGAAATTACACCATAAGAGACAGCTGTACGCGTCCTACCAACAGGCTTACCACTAGATGAAAAAGCGAGCGAATCGAGAGTACCCTTTTCACACCTTTATCGTAATAATCAGCTACGCTTGTTCCAACAACGGCCTTACCACTGAAGGAAGGAAGAAAGCGCCCAGCTCACGTTTCGCGCGCGCGAATTTCTAAACGTCGGCCGGGCGCGCTTATTTTACACCTACACCATAAGAACCACGCTCGTCCCACCAACGGTCTTTTCACACCTCATTGACTTCACCCGCTGTATTCTGTAGTGGTTAGGACGTGGGTGGGACGAGCGTATGGTGAATTTCAAAACGTCGTCCATAACTTTTTTATTTTTGAATTCTAATAAATTTACAAGAAGCGTTTTGGATAAAATTTTTATGAAATAAATCAAGTTTTATAGGTATAAGTCA